GCGGACACCACTCAACCTCTTTCCCTAGCCACTCCATCATTGCCCAATGGGCCCATGAACAAAGTGGCCATGGTGGCAGGGATGGAGGTTACACATGGGCTCAGCAACATGGACTTCCACTCACTAAGGCTGACCTGGCTTCGGTCACTGCTGACTGCCCAATTTGCCAGCAGCAGAGACCAACACTGCTGACTACCCAATTTGCCAGCAGCAGAGACCAACACTGAGCCCTTGATATGGCACCATTTCTTGGGGTGATCAGCCAGCTACCTGGTGACAGGTTGATTATACTGGACCTCTTCCATCTTGGAAAGGGCAGAGGTTTGTCCTCACTGTAACAGACACTTACTCTAGATATAGGTTTGCCTATCCTGCAAGCAATGCTTCTGCCAAGACTACCATCCATGGACTCACAGCATGCCTTATCCACCATCATGGTATTCCACACAGCATTGCTTCTGACCAAGTCACTCACTTTACTGCTAAAGAAGTGTGGCAGTGGGCTCATGCTCATGGAATTCACTGGTCTTACCATGTTCCCAATCACCCTAATGCAGCTGGATTGATAGAACAGTGGAATGGCCTTTTGAAGTCACAATTACAATGCCAACTAAGCAACGATACTTTGGAGGGCTGGGGCATAGTTCTTCAGAAAGCTGTGTATGCTCTAAATCAATGTCCAATATATGGTACTGTTTTCCCATAGCCAAGATTCACAGGTCCAGGAATCAAGGGGTAGAAGTGGAAGTGGCACCATTTGCCATCACCCCTAGCAATCCACTAGCAAAAATTGGCTTCCTGTTACCACAACATTACGTTCTGCTGGCCTAGAGGTCTTAGTTCCTGAGGGAGGAATGCTGCCACCAGGCGACACAACAACTATTCCATTAAACTGGAAGTTAAGATTGCCACCTGCACACTTTGTCTCCTCCTACCTTTAAGTCAACAGGCTAAGAAGGGAGTTACAGTGTTGGTTGAGGTGATTGACCCGGACCGTCGAGATGAAATATGTCTACTACTCTGTAATGGAAGTAAGGAAGAGTATGCATAGAATACAGGAGATTCACCAGAGCATCTCTCAGTATTACCATGCCCTGTGATTAAGGTCAATGGGAAACTGCAACAGCTCAGCCCAGGCAGGAGTACAAATGGTCCAGACACTTCAGGAATGAAAGTTTGGGTCACTCCCCCAGGAAAAAAAACCACAACCTGCTGAGGTGCTTGCTAAAGGCAAAGGGAATACAGAATGGGTAGTAAAAGAAGATAGTCATCAATAGCAGCTACAACCACGTGACCAGCTCCAGAAATGAGGACTATAACTGTCATGAGTATTTCCTCCTTCTTTTGTTAAAAACATATTTGTGCAGGTATATACTTGTACTAAGAAAATATCTTCATTTTATTTCCTTTTCCTTTATCATGTGACACAAGATTTACTGACTTCATATCAGCATTTAAGTATTGTTAACTTTATGTAACAGTATTTGGGTTGGGGATTGGTGAGTTTCCCATTGTATGAAGGATAGTTGTGTTATGCTAGGCATAATTATGACCTCATTATTTTCTTAATTTGAAGATTATGTATGATCTCAGGAGATATGTATGGGTTTGAGTAGACAAGAGGTGGATTTGTGATGATTAATACTGAGTGTCAACTTGATTGGATTGAGGGATACAAAGTATTAATCCTGGGTGTGTCTGTGTGGGTGTTGCCAAAAGAGATTAACATTTGAGTCAGTGGGCTGGGGAAGGCAGACCACCTTTAATCTGGTGGGCACCATCTAATCAGCTGCCAGCAAATATAAAGCAGACAGAAAAATGTGAAAAAGAGAGAGATGGGCCTAGCCTCTCAGCCTACATCTTTCTCCCATGCTGGATTTTTCCTGCCTTCTAACATCAGACTCCAAGTTTTTCAGTTCTGGGACTTGGACTGGCTTTCCTTGTTCCTCAGTTTACAGACAGCATACTGTGAGACCTTGTGATCACGTAAGTTAATACTTAATAAACTCATATATATATATATACACACACACACATATATGTGTATACATATATACAATTCATATATATATACACACACACACATATATACACACACACACACATCCTATTAGTTCTGTCCCTCTAAGAGAACACTACTACATCTGACTTGGTGGAGATAGGTAAAAAGAGCAGTATATGTATCTCAAACCATCTCTTCTCTGTCTCTCTCTCTCTCTCTCCCTTCTCTCTCTCTCCCGCACTCCCTTTCTACACTTCTTCCCCTTCATCAACCTCCCCACCTAGGATTGGCACACACTGAAGAGGCAGAGATTCACCTTTGTCAAGGATCAAGAGGTAGCTCAGGGTTCTGTGAAACACAAGGAGATGTCGTTTACCTTGCTGGGGGCTACACAGCAGGAGCTCGGGAGAAAGTTCCCCAGGAGCAAGGTGTTAGGGAGCTGCCAGGCCAAAGCCAAGGCACAAATATAAAACTCACCACTAAATCTCCATAGGGACCAGATAGAAGAGGGATCACAGTTCTTCAAAGAGGATGAAAGGAAGTCAGACTGAAAAAATCCCAAGTTAAAAATGTCCATCAGATGTCAAATAATAGCAGCTTCTGAGCCAAATAGTCTCAAATAAGGCTCCAAATTTTTTTTTTTTTTTTTTTTTGCTGGCATATACATTGGAATTTTTCTAGTAAATGCCAACATTTAGAAACTGAGATGTTTCACATAAAAATCCAGATTGCAGTCTTCCTAGAGAAATCAAAAGGAAGCCTGCTTTCTCACTTAGCAGCATGGCCAGTGAGATGCAGTGGGGCTACAAACCTGCCCTACCCCAGACTGCATCGGGTCTCTGTGGTACAATCAAATCACTTGTGTTAATCACCTGGCCCACAGGCATTGAGTTTCAATGCCAGTGTAAAGTTCTTTGAATTCATGAGTTAGATAAATTGAAGCAGTTACAGGACTAGAAATGAAGTGGGTAAACACAACGTTTTCATAGAAAACATAAGTTTTGATGAGTCACTAGAAAACTGCTCAATAGTGTTTTCATAAGTCATTGTCTGCTTTTTATTACCGGTTACAGTGTGTTTGTTAATCTCATTCATTGGAGTATGAGATGATTGTTTATTCCTTCACTACACAAAGTACCTACTATGAACCAGGCATTGTTGTAGGTTCTAGAAATACTTCAGAAGACAGTCTCTTCTCTTGTAGACAGAATTCATCGTCATTTATTGTGACGAGGTAGATAAGAAACCATCAAGTGTGATTGCGTAGACTGATAATGATTTGAAGCAAATTAAGCCAGAAAATGTGGGGAAAGGCTAATTTAGATAGGGTTAGATTTTCCAGTCAACCATTTTTTACCATGTGGAAAATGATAGGACATATATACCTCCTCTCCCCCACCCCAAGGTTAAAGCCCACTTCCTCTCTTCTAGAAAGTCTCAAGGGGTAGCTTTACTAACTACGTTCTGCCTTTCAAACCAAAAGATCTACACGAAGTAGAAAGTTAGGTAATTATACAGACAGCTCTAAGCTTAACAGGGTGGTTTGCCTAAATCTTTTAAGTGCCTAATTGAGAACAGCCCACTTAGTTGATGTAGCTCTAAATATTCTGAAAACATTGTTAACCTCCTGGTTTGCTGCTTAGACAATGAGATCATTTATTTGATGTGTGGATATTACTTTACCAAGTAACCATGAATATTTTACCCTACTCACGTTTCAATCACTCATTTGTCCATGTGAGAAAATTTTCTCATTGTATTAATGAGAATTAATGTATTAATACAATGAGAAAATGAGGATCATGTAGTAAAATAAACATGATTTTAACTGGAGTAATATTTAATATATCTTTGTGTGTTTTTGAGAAATATATAGCATGCAACACATTTCTGAGGTATACTACTCATCTATGAGAATGTTTAAAATCTAATTTCACAGAATTGCATCTGAAATCATTTATCTTATTAAAACCACACTAATCTCGAAGCCCCTTTAGGCTATTTTCTGTATTTCAGCCAAATATGTCTCACCAGTAAGTTCTTTTATATCATCATTCAACAGCTTCTTCATTTTATAAAAACAGTCCTCAGCTCCCCAGATACTTATAATCAAAACCTACTTCATTTTCCCAGATATAGTATTATAATTATTATAAGTAAAATTAACTAAAAAGTAGTCTTTTTCCATTATTATATAGCATTACTGCAGGATTTTCTCCCCCACCTCAGATTTTTTAAACATAATTATCTGTAAATCTTTGCTCATAGACCAAAATAAGTAAAACCAAAAATTGAGAATGGAGCTTCATAATATTCCTGAAGCCAAGGGGCATTTTTTTAGCTTGGTTTTCTGAGGAACAAAGGACAATGTATGTATACATACACAAATAAGACATGATACAGTGTCTGGAAGTTATGCAAGAGACAAAAGGCACTGCATAATTGAAATGATGGCTTCCATGAGGCACAGAGATACATATGTCTTCATGACACCAACACAAGCAGTTGGCAAGTGATACAAAGTCAATGACTGCACTGTTGAGGTATTGTGAAGCAACTCATGATTTGTCTACTCATTAAAGGGATGGAGGTTCTCCATTGTTTTGTTGTAGGTTCACGATTTTTTTTTCATTGTTGTTTTTAAATAGAACTTCTTGGATGCATCAGAGTATTCTGCTACATTCTAAACAGAGCATCCAGGCCACCCATACATTCCTCTCACTCCTTGATATACAGCTCGCCAGTCCAAGAACAACTGGACTTCTTTGTATTTAAGAGAGCAATACCAGATGTTCTAACTTTAAAAGGCAGAAATTGTCTCAGGATTCTAATTATCAATTCAAACAATACATATTTATACACATATACATATATGGTAATCACACTTCAAAAGCATAACCTCTATTACAAACATCTTTAATTCAAAGGAAACAACACATTTTTTCATATTTCAGCTTTAATAAAATTCACATTTCAAATTAATGCAAGTGAAGACAAGTTCTAAATAAATGTATTTAAATATTAAATAAGAATTATAAAATTTAACTTGGTACATGATGATTTGACAAATATATTACTAACAGTCATATACAAAAAAATCATTATTTCTCACTGGTACTCTCAGATATAATTTACACAATTATATGTTTAGATTGTAAAGAAAATAATATATCTAGTAAAAATAAAATACAATCACACAATTTTTAATATCTCATTTTCAATATGTGATTCAAACTGTTTTACAAAATTATAAATTACTGTATACACAAAAAGATAAAGCAAGAAAGACCCATTCTGTGACAGGTCACAGCTACCAGTTATTTCTGGGAAGTCTCTTATTTTACTCATCTTCATATCCATAAAATTATAAATTTCATCTTTTTTTTACATTTTGCATGATCTGAGGCACTTTTTCTTCACATTAGATGTACATTCTTAGGAAATGCCTGTGGGGGGAAAAGAAGAACCATATCATTTATGACCTGGTTTTTAGAATACTTACAAACATGTACAGTTTCAACAGTTTATTTTATTTTGCTTAAAGAATCTGTGGACTCCTAATTTACAGTCTAATCCTGAGAATGCAGACTAATTTGTGTGCAGAGGGGCAGGAAGGTTGATCAGTACTTTTAGAGACTTTAAATATTGACTTTCCCTTAAAGATTTATGATATCTAGACATACCAAAACAGAAAAGAATTTGACACCTTGTGAACAACTCATTAAATATCCCTAACATTTATTAATCTGTAATATTGATTGCAAACCTTATTAAATAAATAATTCGAAACAGATAACTCATAGAGAAAAATCACTAAGTCTCTAAAATCTATAATTTTCAAAAGTCATGTTTATCAGCTCTGTCTTCTATGATCTAGCCCAGGAGAATGTAAATTTGTGTACATTATCTTAAATTATAATACAGTACTTGTTTGGGAAAACTTTTCCAGTATTGTGTTGTTTGGGGACTTTAGGTAAATTTACTCATTTACATGGAATATATTAAAAACGAAGAAAGAGATAAATATAACTTGGTTTAGGTCATTTCAATAACCAAGTGAATTATCTTGATTCATGTTTTGTGTTGTTCAAAAGAGTTGAAACCAGGCACGGTGGCTCATGTCTGTAATTCCAACACTTTGGGCAGCCAAGATGGGAGGATCGCTTGAGCCCAAGAGCTCGAGACCAGCCTAGGCAACATAGTGGGACTCTGTTGCCACCAAAAAAAAAAAAAAATTAGATGAGCATGGTAGCATGAGCCTGTAGTCCCAGGTGCTTGAGAGGCTAAGGTGGGAGGATCACTGGAGCCTGAGAGGTTGAGGTCACACCGAACTATGATCAAGCCACTGCACTCCAACCTGGGCAACAGAGTAAGACCTTGTCTCACAAAAAAAAAAAAAAAAAAAAAAAAAGGAAAGAAAAGAAAGAAAGAAAAAAGCATTGAAACAGGTAGGTTGAGAGTGATTGAATTAAGTATCCTGCCACTACAATAATCTAGTTTATTTTCTTAATCTAAAAAAAAAAATTTCAATTTAGCAACTGTAGATATGCAGAACTAACAGTTCTAATTATTATCATTAATGTGTGATAATCAATTTTAAAGTAAGACTAAGTATAGCAACAATAATAGGTCAGGATTGTCTCAGTAATTGTCACAACAAAACTGTGAGATAGTTTAAGTAAATCCCCATGCAGTTATTTATGATATTGATACTGAGTTACACTGGCCAGTTCAAGATATTCATGATTAATTTTAGACTACAAGTCCTCTATGACTTTTTTTTTTTTTTTTTGACGGAGTCTTGCTCTGTCGCCAAGCCTGGAATGCAGTGCCATGATCTCAGCTCACTGCAATCTCCACCTCCTGGGTTCAAGCAATTCTCCTGCCTCAGCCTCCCGAGTAGCTGGGACAACAGGCACGCACCACCACATGGCTAATTTTTGTATTTTTAGTAGAGACAGGGCTTCACAATGTTGGCCAAGCTGGTCTCGAACTCCTGATTTCAAGTGATCCACCCACGTCAGCATCCCAAAGTGCTGGGATTACAGGTGTGAGCGACGGTGCCCAGCCATCCTCTTATGACTTTCACTTCCACCTTCACAACTGAGGAACCAGTTGCCTTAAAAGGACTTGTCCATGGTACTGAAATGCTGACCCAAAAAAAGTTGACTTGGTACTACACTGCGAAAGAACTACTGATTAGAGAAACATTTGCAAAGAAATAAGTATCTTTCAGTATTTTGTATAGAGTCTACTTTTTAAAATAAATGTTACAATTTACATTCAATTTATTTAGGATCGTACAAATACTTTATTGCCCAAGGGCTCCTAGCATAAATTAGCCAGAATGAAAATTCTGGTTTACCATTTCACTCTTGTAAAGTAATAGGCTAGAGCAAGAAATAATTACATGTTCATTATCTTTTTTATTCTTTGCTTTTTCTCTTATTATTACAATATCTTCTCTCTGTTTCCTACTTAGAGTACCAAAACTGTACCAAAATTTTAAGACCTGGCTTCATTTTTATTATATATTTTGGACAGTTAAAAAATAGAACTGTATAAGTACTTCTGTTCATCTAATGTCTATCTGCGTAATGCTTCTGCACAATCATGAAACAACACTAAATGCTGAAAGATTTTTGGAAATCTCTCAGGGCTGGTAAGGTTGTCAAAAAACTATTTTAATTCAATCACTGCTGAGGATATTTTAAACTAATTCATTAAAACGGTCTTTTCATTTGGACCAAGTTTTAACACTTACTGAAAAATCCATAGATTAAGTTCATAGGTATTGCTAAAATAGGCTTCCTGGCTTCTGACATTATTCAAACATTTTCTTAAGAAGATTAGGCTATTAACAGAGTGAAGAGACAACACGTAGAATGGGAGAAAAGATTTGCAAACTATCCAGCTGACAAGGGACTAATATCCAGAATACACAAACAATTAAACAGCAAAAACCAGATAATCTGATTTAAAAGAGGGCAAAGTATCTGAACAGACATTTCTCAAAAGAAGACATACAAAAGTCTAACAAATATATGAAAAAAATGCCAAATATCACTAATCATCAGGGAAATGCAAATCATAACCATGATGACATATTATCTCACACCAGTTAGAATGGCTATTGTCAAAAAGACAAAAACAAATGCTAGTGAGGAGCAGAGAAAAAGGAACCTTTATACACTGTTGGTGAGAATGTAAATTAGTACAGCCATTATGAACAAAGGTGTGGAAGTTTCTCAAAAACAAAACTAAAAATGGAACTACCATATAATCCCAAAAATCCCACTACTGGGTATTTATCCAAAGGAAAGAAATCAGTATATCAAAGAAATTCCTGCACCTCTATATTAACTGCAGTACTAGTCACAATAGCCAAGACAGGCAATCAATCTAAATGTCCATCAATGGATGAATGGATAAAGAAAATGTTGTGTATATACACAAAGGAATACTATTCAGCTATATAAAGAATGAAATGCTACCATTTAAGGCCATATGGATGAAGCTGGAGGACATTATGGTAAGTGAAATAAGTCAGCCACAGAAAGGTAAATATTCTCACTCATATAAGGGAGCTAAAAAAAAAATTAAGCACATAGAAGTAGAGAGTAGAATGTTGGGTATTAGAAGCTAAAGAGGGCCAGGAATGGTGGCTCATGCTTGTAATCCCAGCAGTTTGGGAGGTTGAGGCCGGTGTATCACTTGAGGTCAGGAGTTTGAGACCAGCTTGGCCAACATGAAAAAACCCTGTCTCCACTGAAAATACAAAAGGTAGCCAGGCTTGGTGGCATGTGCTTGTAGTCCCAGCTACTTGGGAGGCTGAGGCAGGAGAATCGCTTGGACCTGGGAGGCGGAAATTGCAGAGATTGCACTACTGCACTCCAGCCTGGAGACAGAGCAAGACTCTGTCTCAGAAAAAAAAAAAAAAGAAAAAAAAAAAAGGCTAAAGGGGAGTGGGAGGCACAGCTGGGGAGCGGTTGGTTAGTGAATACAAACTACAGCTAGACATGAGGGTTCTGGGGCTCTGCAGCACTGTAGGGTGAATCTGGTTAACCGTAATTTATTGTATATTTTTTCAAAGCTGCAAAAGAAGGTTTTGAATGCTCACAGTATAAAAAATAATAAATGTTTGAGGCATATCAAACATGTATTAGTATTAAATTTTAGATTAAAATTTAAAATTTAATTTAGATTATTTTTCATAGACCACGACTCTACTTCCCACAGAGCCTGGGTGGGGGGAAGAGCTCTCAGGCACATTCTTTTAAGGGCATGGAAGTATGTAAAGTGTTGTTATATTATTTAAATTATATATTTAAATTAAATTTTAAATTAGTATCACATTTTGATTAAGTATCAAAATGTCACACTGTATCCCATAAATACGTACAATCATGTGTCAACTAAAAAGAAAAGGAAAAAATGTTAAAAAATAAAGTTAGACTATTAAGCAGGATAAGAAAAATAAATATATACTCACAGGGTAGGTTTGCTAGGTCTGGGAGCACAGTGGACTCACTGCTAATCTTGTTAACAATCTAGCACATCTTTTGTAATCTAGGAAAAACATTTAAAGATAAATTATGTATAGAGTTACTAGAAATGTTGGGGAAATCCTGTTATTGTTGTCACTAATTCATATAACAATAACTACAATTTAATAAATACCTACTATGTCAAGTGGTGAAAATGGATTTTCTCATCAATTCTTTTAATAACACAATCTGGAAGGTGCTATTCCTATATTCACTTTAGAGGTGAGACAAGAGCCTCAGAATGTTAATTAATCACCCCATAACTAGTCAAAAGCTTTATGCCAAACCATGTGCTTTCTCCACCATGCTTGGCTACCATTAGTCATTCTGCCTGTAATCCAATGTGATTGACTTTCTCTAGCCATTTAACACAAGTTGTTTTATTTTATTTTATTTTGGAATTTTTACTTATTTATTTATTTATTTATTTATTTATTTATTTATTTATTTTTATTTTGAAGCCAGATTGTAAGATTGGCTAACTTTTGTATTTTTGGTAGAGACAGGGTTTCACCATGTTGCCAAGGCTGGTCTCCAACACCTGAGCTTAAGCGATCTGCCTGCCTTGACCTCCCAAAGTGCTGGGATTACAGTCGTGAGCCATCCCACCCGGCCTAAACACAAGCTGTTTTTGAAAAACATTATAACAAATACAACTTAACATGCTGAGTAAAAGTCAATACTCCTCAAGATGAGCAATCTAGTTAAAAAGAAACAAAATGCTTAGAATTCATGTTCTTTAAAAGGAAAGTTGAGGCTTAGAAAGGAATTTAGAAACAGCAAACGGAGTTACCACACATAGTCATAATTTTGGCACTTTAAATGATAGTGCTTAAATATTATGTTTAGAATTATTATTAACTTCAGTAACTTAAGTATCCAAAAGAATTCATTATAGCAACTTTTACATGCTATCATTACTCAGAAAAATCCAGCATCATTATATAAATGATGTGATACAAAAAATATTTACTTTAAAATAACTTAGGAAAAAATTTTTACTTAGAGTTCGCAGTCATCTCATTTTTTTTTCATTTATTTGAGACAGCACCCTATTTATGTCAAAGAATTTGAATCATGATAAAATGTTTAAATCCTAACAAACACTTTGATCTTTAAGGAAATCTGGCTATTATCAGATTTGAATAGATTCCCAACTAGAATATGGTTTCATTCCTTACAGCAACAGTACACACAAACCTTAGGTACTGTCAGTGTTATAAATCAGTGTTATAAATAGAATGTCAATGGTTAGTCTACTTCTTCCCATCCACAGACATTTGAAGTTTAAAATTACACACATTTATTGTTGGATAATTTTTTTTAAAAAAAACCCACCCAAGTTACTTACAAGCTGGTGTTGAGCACTCCCTGGTATTGTAATAGAGTCGGTGGAAATGTTTGCTGCATTCTGGTGAAAATGTGACTGGCCCTAGAGCACAGGAAAAGAATGCTTATTATAAACATAGGCATGTTTTCCAAACAAATTTCCTAGCACTTTATGAGTGGACATAATATAACAGCACTTTACATACTTCCATGCCCTTAAAAGAACATGCCTGAGAGCTCTTCCCCCACCCAGGCTCTGTGGGAGGTAGAGTTGTGGTCTATGAAAAATAATCTAAATTCATTCCACATTCTCAACATCTCACATAATGGAATCTTCACATGTAGTACAACTATGTAGAAAAATTAAAAGGAAAAAGTTCTGGACAGAAAATAAAAAGACTGTAGAGAGCAAATTGAGTGCATGAGAAGTACAAAAAATAAGTATCTTTGGTTTCTACTTTCTGTTTTTATCTAAAGCAATTAATGTTTACATGCCAAGACATTTATTCCATTTTCTAATTATAGTAATTTGTGTCGTATTAGTGTCTAGGATAATTGTAAAATGGAATGGGCAGGGCCTTGAGAAGTCCTTTGTCTCTCCCTTTAAATCCAAGGTAGGGCCCATCAAGACTTTCATCCCGGATGGGGAGTAGTGGCTCACGTCTGCAATCCCAGCACTTTGGGAGGCCAAGGCAGGAGGATCACTTGAGCTCAGGAGTTCAAGAACAGCCTAAGCACCATAGTGAGACCCTGTCTCTGCAAAAAATAAAAATAAAAAATTAGCCAGGCATGGCAGCACACACCTGTAGTCCCAGTTCAGTTACTGTAGAGGCTGAGGCAGAAGGATCCTTGAGCCCAGGAGTTGGAGGCTACAGTGAGCTATGACTGCACCACTGCACTCCAGCCTGAGCAACAGAGTAAGACCCTATCTCTTAAAAAAAAAAAAAAATACACACAGAACAACAACAACAACAAAATGTTCATCCCTCCGTCCCTCTGGTGTCTGCTTCTCGTGGGGTCCACAGTCATGTCGCTAACAGCTGCCTCAAAAGGCTCAACATCCCCACACATCCCTGTGCCCTGCAGGTGCATCTCCACTTGATCCTGAGGACCATCCTTTCTGTTAATAAACAGGTAGGGCCCTTGGACTTGACTAAGTGGGCAAACCACATCTTTCCCACATCACAGGCCTGAGGTGTAAAAGAAAAAAAAGTAGCTGGGATGACTGGGAACAGAGAGGTAATGCCAATAGTAAATATGGGGGTGTACTGTTCACAATAATTCAGTGATTTGCTAGAAATTGGGGCATAGGATGATGTGCAAATGATTCACAAAGTTGATATGAAGAACAAAACAGTGTCATGGGACAGTATTTATCTGTGCTTACGATGTGGCAGGTGGGCCTGGTGCAGTGGCTCACAACTATAATCCCAATGCTTTGGGAGGCCAAGGCAGGAGGATCACTTGAGCTAGGAGTTCAAGACCAACCTGGGCAACATAGTGAGACCCCATCTCTAAAGAAAATAAAAAATTAGCTGGGTGTGATGGCACAGTAGTCTCAGCTACTTCGGAGGCTGAGGTGGGAGGATCCCTTGAGCCTATTTGTTCAAGGCTGCAGTGAGCCATGATCTCACCACTGAACTTGATGGAATCAGACCCTGTCTCAAAAATAAAAAATTTTTGACCTGGCGCGGTGGCTCACACTTGGAGGCCGAAGCGGGCGGATCGCTTAGGCCAGGAGTTTGACACCAGCCTGACCAACATGGTGAAACCCCATCTCTACTAAAAATACAAAAAAGTAGCCAGGCGTGGTGGTGCATGCCTGTAATCCCAGCTATTTGGGAGGCTGAGGCAGGAGAATTGCTTGAACCGGGAGGCGGAGGTTGCAGTGAGCCGAGATCACGCCACTGCACACCAGCCTGGGCAACAAGAGCGAAACTCTGTCTCAGAAAATAATAATAATAATTAATAAACAAATATGTTTTTAAAAGATGTAGTATATGAAAGTCTGCCCCTCCCTATTCAAAACATTTCTATTGCCCCCTCTCTCCCTACCCCTCACCAGACTGGGGAACATAGTCTGAATTCCCCAGCATGCCATTTAAGATTATCCACAACGTGACTCCAAGCTACCTTTCCAGCCATATACTTGACCAGGGCCACATACGCCCCACATACCTAAGCCCACCCACAGTCCATGCATACCTGTCCTTGCCTAAATCACACCCTGTGCCTTCATGGCTTACTCAATGCACTCCTTCTGAAGAGAAGGTCTCTCTCACCACGGGAAAGCCTTATTCATCCCTTAAAGCCCACCTTAAATATTGTGTCTACTACAAGCCTTTCTTGGTAGTTCTTGGTCACATTATTCACTTCCTGTGTATCCTTAAAAAGTGGTTCATACTTCTATTACTTATTAAGGGCTGGTTTACATTACAGTTAACACAAGTTAGTAGCATCCGTCCATCTCCCCAACTGGACCATGAGTCACTTACAGACATTTATTTTCATATTCCTAGTGCCTGACATAGTAACCTGTACACATTCTTTTTATTTAGTTAATGGAATCACTGATAAATTTTGTACTTACCTGTGAAATGCTTTATGAATTTGTCTTTTAAGTTAGAATCTCTTGGGAATATTTCTGAAAAGAAAAAAAACCTTCAGAATTTCTTGAATGCATTTCTCCCATTTAAAAATATCCTTAATACTTTGGGAGGCCGAGATGGGTGGATCACGAGGTCAGGAGATCGAGACCTTCCTGGCTAACACGGTGAAACCCCATCTCTACTAAAATATACAAAAAACTAGCCCGGCAAGGTGGTGGGCGCCTGCAGTCCCAGTTACCCCGAAGGCTGAGCCAGGAGAATGGTGTGAACCCGGGAGGCGGAGCTTGCAGTGAGCTGAGATCCGGCCACTGCACTCCAGCCTAGGCAACAGAGCAAGACTCCGTCTCAAAAAAAAAAAATCTTTAATATGCTAAATACTTAATAAGGCACTAAACACATGAATTCATGACAGTTTATTTAGCTGAGTCCAAACTGATATCTCCAGCCCTGACCATTTCCTGGGCTCCAAAACTCCAATACACCTACCTCACTGCTTGCTCTACGGCATGAAGGGTACCTTACAGCCCTCTCAAAACTGTACAGTCGCAATGGAAGGTCTCCTTTTCCTCTGCCCAGGTCTGTTTGTCTCCATGTTCCTCAGTCCACTGAAGACTGACTGAAGTGGCATTACTCTCGATCAGGCCCCAGCTCAAGAAGTTATGCTTGACTTCCTTTTTCCCTCACCACTACACCCAACCCATGAGTTAGTTTTATGTATTCCACCTCCAACAAATTATTCCAGACCCACTCACTTCTTTCTCCTTCCCTCAACATGAGTCTGGCCCAAGCCATCGTCCTTTTGTGACCATGCCTTGGCAGTGGCCTCCTAACCCCTCCTCTCCTGCCCATAATCATCTTTCTCCCCAGTAGCCAGAACAAACAAACTGAAATGTACTATAGGTCATGATCTCTCCCACTTGGAAGGCTTTGTGCTTAATATATAATAAAATTTAAAAATAAAAGTGTATCTCAGGCTTTACCTTGTACTCACTAAAACTACACCATCCAGAAAATGCAATTTATACAAACAATTGGGAGCACGTGCAACACTTTCAAAGGAAGAGAAAACTTAAACTTTAGTAAAATAGTGGAGCCTCATGGTTTGTTGGTAGGTATACATTTAAACTTACAACATTGTAAGAATATAATAGGGAAGTGAACGTTTGTCATCCCCCTCTAGGAGAGTCTGAGCCACCACGGTGATGAGTGTGACTTCGCCAGGACAAGGCAGTGGTGACTGAGGCTTGGAAAATGCAGACGCAGTAATTCTAACTGTTCCTTACATGCCATGAGCTCCTGAGGGACTTCGGAACCCTTTCCTGTGCAGGGAGCTCCCCAGTTCGGGGCAGCCTTCTGCGAGTTCAGGGCCTGGCTCAGGGCGTGATTGTGTGGGTGCAGCAGGAATGCAGAGAGATCGGAGCTCCCCTCTCATTTGACAATGAACACCTGCACTTTACAAACAATTAAAACTAATCCAGGAAAACAAAGCAGCAGTAAAATGAAAGTACTTCATCACATAAACCTTTCCTCTTCTCTTCGATAATGCTCCAGCTCAAACATAGGTCTTTTCCCCCGTACTTCTCAGAAAGCAAAAATAGCAAATTGGCTTCTGTGGTGTCAATATTTGGGCCAGGTAGTTACAGTGGTGCATTCTGAAAAATGAATGAGAGCTGAGTACAGCAGAAGCACCTCCTGTGGCTAAGGCGTGCTCAAAGACTTCATAAATAATTCTATTTCTGAAAGCATTTTAGAGTATAATTTTAATCTCTAGACCCTGTGACAAGGACGACACTCAGGTGTGTAGAAAATTGCATATTTTAAGTAAATTACCCTCCTCATCTCCGCCCCATAACACATTTTATTACTTCTATCAAAGCAGATGTCACATTCTGGTTAGCATGACAGGGCACTGTGTGTGTCTGTCTTCCCCGCAATTATGGCTTCCTGAGGAAAGGGATGCGGTCTTGTCCCCCTGTACAACCCGGCTTTGCTGGCAGAGGCACCTGGCACACGTTCAAGGAATAGGAAGCCGAGAGGGCTGCTACTGCTCAAATGGAAACATCAGTGCCTCCTTGCACTCAGTACAGCCCACCAAGAAAACCACAATTTCAATACACTTGAATTTTAACTTCAAAGCACAAACATCATATAGGAATACAAGAATGTACAACAGATTGATTTAACTGAAACAGAAAAGTGGTGTTTAAGTCCATACCTGAAGTAACAAGCCAGAGATAAGAATGTAAGAAGAGATGGGAATGGGGAGGACTGCAGCCTGTTTAAGTATTGGGGGAAAAGTCTAGAGCTGCTGAAGAAGAGGTGGGTGAGACAAGACTGCCGGCACAGGTGGGCTTTAGAGTCAAGTTGTACACAAACTTTGTGCTTAATTCTGTAGGTGATGAGAAGTCAAAGGGCTTTAGGCAAAGGAAAGGCAAGGTTAAGCTACATTTTCAAAAGATCATTGAGGGAGGGAGGGAATGGGGAGAATTGGTCAAAGGATTCAAAGCTGCAGATGGGTAGGATGAGCAAGTCTAGAGGAGGACTGCAGGGAGTAATGATGTGTTGTATGTGGAACAATGGTTGAGAGAGCAGAGTTCAGGAGTTCTCACCATCAAAAAAAAAGGGTAACTGTGAGATGATGGATGTGATTTGCTTGACCACAGTAACCACTGCACTCTGTATACATATATCAATACATTATGCTGTGCACTTTAAAGACATACAATAAAAATAAATAAAATTATATACACCATTTAAACATTTTTTAATAAGCAAACTTTGTTTTTTTGAGACAGAGTCTTGCTCTGTTGCCCAGGCTGGAGTGCAATGGTGCAATCATGACTCACTGCAGCCTCCAACACCTGGGCTCAAGCAGTCCTCCCACCTCAGCCTCCCAAAGTGTTGGAATTAGAGACATGAGCCACTGAGCCCAGCATCAACTATTTTTAATAATAAAAAACAATGATGCCTAAGTATTGTGAAAGGAAAGTAAATCTCAGGACCCCAAAATCACTAAGCCAAGGGAAAAGTCAAGCTGGGAACTATGTCAGGCAAACCTGCCTCCCATTAATTCCTAAATAAGATAGCTACAAAGATAAAAAGTCACATACCTCCCTCATGATCTGTCCACAAAAAAATTCTTTGTGGATGGAGGATAGAGAGAACTTGAAGTCATCCCTCTGAGGCTCACCTGAGACAAATACATATGATTGCTTCCTGTGCCCTGTTGTTTATGTAAAACTGCAGATTCACCGAGCCACACTAAATTGTGTATTCAGTGGAAGGCTGATCAAGGACTCAAAAGAATGCAAACTTTTGTCCTTTATCTATTTCTGACCTGGAACCCCCCCACCCACCTCCCTCCCTGCACATACCCCTTTCCCCTCAAACCCGTTTCACCTCCCCCATCCCCCTTAAACTTGTCTTGCCTTTCTGAACCCAACCAATGTACATCTTATACATACTGACTGATGTCTCATGTCTCCCTAAAATGTATAAAAGCAAGCTGTACCCTAATCACCTTGAGCACATGTCAGCAGGACCTCCTGAGGTTGTATCATGGGTGCATCCTTAACCTTGACAAAATAAACTTTCTAAATTGATTGAGACCTCTCTCAGATACTTTTTTTTTTTTTTTTTTTTTTTTGAGACAGAGTCTCGCTCTGTTGCCCAGGCTGGAGTGCAGTGGCGCGATCTCAGCTCACTGCAAGTCTCAGATACTTTTTGGCTTACAGTACAGAGGGCAAAGAATAGATGCAGAGAGACAAGTTAAAAGGTTTACAGTCATGTGCTGTTTAATGATGGGAATACGTTTGGAGAAATGCATCATTAGGTGATTCCTTCATTGTGGGAGCATCATAGAGTGCACTTACATAAACCTTGGGGGGAGAGCCTCCTGCACACTCAGGCTATTGCTCCTAGGCTACAAAACCTGTTGTGCTGAATACTGTAGGCAGCTGTAACACCATAGTGAGTATCTGTGAATCTAAACATATCTACACATAGAAAAGGAACAGTAAAAAATACAGTATTATAATCTAAGGACCACCATGGTATATGCAGTCTGTAGGTGACAGAAACGTCCTTTTGTGGCACGTGACTATAACTGTATTTTTTTTTTTTTTTTTTTTTTTTGAGACGGAGTCTTGCTCTCTCACCCAGGCTGGAGTGCAGTGGCCGGATCTCAGCTCACTGCAAGCTCCGCCTCCCGGGTTCACGCCATTCTCCTGCCTCAGCCTCCCCAGTAGCTGGGACTACAGGCACCCGCCACCTCGCCGGGCTGGTTTTTTGTATTTTTTAGTAGAGACGGGGTTTCACCGGATTAGTCAGGATGGTCTCGATCTCCTGACCTCATGATCCGCCTGTCTCGGCCTCCCAAAGTGCTGGGATTACAGGCTTGAGCCACCGCGCCCGGCCAACTATAACTGTATTGACTAGCACTGGCCTATGCAGGGGCTAGCAAACAACAGCTCCTGAGGCAGATCCAGCCTGCACCTGTGTTTATGAATAAAACTCTGCCGCAACATGCCCACATCCATTTGTTTAGGGGTCGTCAGTGGCTGCTTTTTCACTACAAGGGCAGAACTGAGTAGTTGTTGCAGAGATAGTATGGCTCACTGTACAGAGCAGAAAAGTTCCTCTTCAAAGCTCCTCTTGGTTTAAAAATAAAATAATAGACACTAGGAATAATATCTTCTTACTCCAAAGCGTCTTATCACCTACTAGTTCTTATACTTTAGCCCAGTTAGTTGCTTTGGCTTGCATGTCTGGACAGGCCCAGGCAAGTCTTAGCTCATAGCTTATGCCCCTTCCTTGTTTGGAAATGTTATTGCTTCCTTAAACCTTTTGTAAGCAACTTCCTTTTCTTCTTTATTCTCCCTTGAACTTACCTATTTAGGGAAGTTTTTAGGTTATTAGCACATCGGGTATCAGTTTAAGACTGTGAGGTCCAGCTCCAGCCAATGGATGCAGGACACAGCAGTAAGGATGACCCAAATGCGTAAGGGATAAATATATCTGCTTTTCCTTTGTTCAG